GCTGCAGACATGCCACCATCCTGTCTGCAGCAGGAGGCCCCACATACAGCCTGACAGTCAGGCCAAGCCATTTGGCCATTCACCAGCGCTGCAAGCTCAGGCAGGTTCCTTAACCTGTCTCAGTTCCTGCTTCTGAAAAGTAAAGCTAATGGGGTCTATGTCATGAGATACTGGAAGATTAGGTAAAATAACAAGCATCAGGCCGCTGACATAGAAAGTGTGCCTGAGAGGTGGATGGATGGCTCCCTGGACCCTCTCTTTGTCTTGTGGGCCAAGTCCCTCCTGATCCCCACAGGGCAAACGACTAGCTGATTTTCAGTAGTTTAAGCTGGTTTGCAGCAGCTAAACTCCGCATTTCTTTGACCGTTTGAACAGGAAACCTGAGATGAGGGAGCGTTTGAATTGGTTCATGCAAAAAACAATTATTTGCTAGAGGTTAGCTGCTGCATTATGAATTTTTAACCTCCCATAAATCAAACTGTAAAAATGGACAAAGGCTGAGTTTCCTGTGCCAGGACCAAAATAGACACCGCCTGCGTCTCTCAGACAATTCCGATTATGTTTCCACAACCAAATCATGCTGAGATGAATAGCTGGAATATTTATATTTAGGTCCTAACGTATAATGTAAAATAAATGAAAACAGTCTATCTTCTTGGCACTGAAACTGTGCCACCATATCCATTTACAAAGACGATAACTCAAAGACCAGGCTGTGCAGAGACTATCATGCGCCTGGGGTGGGGTTTTGCTTCTCTGCTCCCATTGCTTTTCCCTGTAACTTTCGTCACCAGATACCCAATACTAAATGATTAATAGAAAATCCCCAGCGAGTCAGTCCACTGCAAGGTTTAAAGTGAATCCTTTTGTGAACGCTTTATACTGAGAAATACAAACGCTTTAAAAGATCCAGGAGACAGAATCTTGTAATCGCAGAGGACGGTATTTTAACTAAAAAAAGCTTTTATTCACTTGACAAACATATCTTTCTCTGGCAACTCCTATGAGCTACAAACTTAGAGGAATATCATAACAACTAAGAGATTTTTCTTCTTTCAATTTACTGGTAAAGGGAGATATGAAAGCACCTGATTTACTATGAGGCAGAAAGAAACATGAGCTCAAGAGTGTTACAAGCAAATGTTACAGACTTCTAGAAGGGAAGACCACACCAAAAAGGTGAAGTTGGAGCTGAACTTTAAAGGTTGATAAAGGTTTTAGTATGGAAAATAGAGCTCCAGAGGCCAAGAGAAATGTGGCTACACTGAGGTGAAACTGGCAATAGGGTGTGGAGTGAAAGTATACGATGCAAAAAATAAGTTGAAAGCAAGTATGGGCCAGGCACAGTGGCTCACACCTGTAATCCCAGCATGTTGGGAGACTGATGTGGGAGGGTCACCTGAGGCCAGGACTTCGAGACCAGCCTGGCCCACAAGGCAAAGCCCTGTCTCTACTAAAAACACAAAAATTAGCCAGGAGTGGTGGCACACACCTGTAGTCCCAGGTACTTGGGAGGCCGAGACAGGAGGATCGCTTAAACGCAGGAGGCAGAGGTTGCAGTGAGCGTAGATCATACCACTGTACTCTGGCCTGGGTGACAGAGTAAGACTCCATCTCCAAAGAAAATAAAGCAATGTATGAAGCCATTTGGAATAAAGAAGATAGAGCCTTATAGGAGACTGGAGGTTTTTAAAGGCTTCTAACAAAAGGACTGATATGACATCAGCAGTGTGAATGAATCCATTCATTCACTTAACAAATATTTACTGAGCTCTTCAGTGAGGGATGAAGTGGTAGGTAACAAAACCAACAGGCTCCTGCCCCCATGGAATCACAGTTTCATGGGGTGATGAGCGTTAGCAAATAAACCTGTTAAGTAAATGTATTAGGTTGATACAAAAGTAATTGTAGTTTTTGCCATTACTTTTAATGCAATTACTTTTGTGTCAACCTAAAATAATTACAGGCAGAAGAGAGAACTGGGTAAGAAGGGTGTTTAGGGTGGTGTCCAAGGATAGCAGGGAGCCCTGACTAATACTGGGGGTTGCAGAGAGGAGAGAAGGCATCGCTGAAGACTTGGCATCCACACTGGGTCCTGGGGGGTCAATGGAGTTGGAAAGCAGGGGTATGCTGGGACCAGGGCTGTAGCAGAGGTTGGGGGCATTACAAGTGCAGGACTAGGAACAAAGGCCTTTTGGTAAATGAAGAGATAGGCATTTTCAAGAAAACAAAAGAGAAGAGAGTGGCATAAGATAACTCCAGGAGGATGGGACATCTGCAAGGCCTGGCAAGGCACATTCAGGATTTTATTTTATTTTATTTTATTTTAGTTTTTTATTTTATTTTATTTTATTTTATTTTATTTTATTTTATTTATTTATTTTGAGATGGAGTCTCACTCTGTCACCCAGCCTGGAGTGCAGTGGTGTGATCTTGGCTCACTGCAACTTCCACCTCCCAGGTTCAAGTTATTCTCCTGCCTCAGCCTCCTGAGTAGCTGGGACTACAGGCATGTGCCACCACACCTGGTTAATTTTTTGTATTTTTAGTAGAGATGGGGTTTCACCGTGTTAACCAGGATGGTCTCAATCTCCTGAACTTGTGATCTGCCCGCCTCGGCCTCCCAAAGCGCTAGGATTATAGATGTGAGTCACCGTGCCCAGCCCAGTTTTTGTATTTTTAGTAGATTAGGGGTTTCACCATCTTGGCCAGGCTTGTCTTGAACTCCTGACCTTATGATCCACACACCTTGGCCTCCCAAAGTGCTGGGATTACAGGCATGAGCCGCTGCACCCGGCCACATTCAGGATTTTAATCAGAAGTGCAAGGGGAAGCCAGTGTCTGGAGTGATAAGATCTGGTTGGTTGAATAATGTCCCTCTGGCTGCTGTGTGGAAGGTGGATCTGAGAGGAGTGAGTTTGAAAGACATTGTGGTGATCCTGAGGACTATCCTCTGATTTTTTTATCTTGCCCGATTTTCTATCTCAAGGGTCTGGGGAGTCATGCTCTACAAATCATAAATTCTCATCAGATGGGTTTAATTTAACCCTATACAGGATGACTTACTTTCCAAACTGACTCTGGCATAACATTACGAGACAAGGAAGAAAATCAAAATATTTTACCCCAAAGCATGTTTCTTTGCCATATCTTGAAATGGCCCTGCAAAGCATCTATAAAGAATCTCTATTAACATAGCTAGTTCTTTTTCTTCAAGACCCTCCCAATCCTAAAGAGATTAACTAAAAGTCTAGCACCTTCTAAAGATCTGAATAGGAAACACTTGTCATCTGTTATCTCTAAAGGGCAGCCGTGGTGAGACTTCAAAAGAGCCTTGGTCTTCACAATCTTTTATCTTAACCCGAACATTTCCTTTCTGTGATCCCAGGTCTTTAGATAAACTCAACCAATTGTCAACCAGAAAATGTTTAAATTCACCTGTAGCTTGGAAGCCCCTGCCTTTCTGGATCAAACCAATGTATTTCTTTAATGTATTTGATTGATGTCTCATGCCTCCCTAAAATGTTTAAAACCAAGCTGCTCCCTGACCACCTTGGGCACATGTTCTCAGGACCTCCCGAGGGCTGTGGCAGGGGACATGGTCACTCATATTCGGCTCGGAATAAATCTCTTCAAATATTTTACAGAGTTTGGCTATTTTCATTGACAATGTGAAGGAGATATGTGGCGGTTTGCACAGAGCAGTCCTGGTGAACCAGGAGGCAAGAGGGCCATTGAAGACCTTCTTCAAAGCTACAGCAGACAGCTCTTGCCGATGGGGTGGGGGTTGGGAGCAGTAGAAGAGGGAAAAGGCAAGGAGATTCCATGTTCTGACTTGAGCCACTGAGCAGAAGGTGGTAATGTTTCCCAGAGAGGGAAAAGCCTAGAGTCATGTTAATGCGTAGGCTTCAGGTGAGAGGTCAAGAAATCAGCTTGAGATTTGCAAACATTAAATGCCTATGAGACATCCAATGCAGAGGTCAAGTGGGCCATTCACAATGTGAGTCAGAAGCTCAGAAAAATGAAAACAACCACAGATCATCTGGGAGGAGGGCAGAGTAGAGGCAAAAGCTAGAAAGAGTAGTTTCCATCTCTGCTTCCTGTGCCTGGAATCTGCCCCAGCTGACCTTTCAAGAAAGTCTCTGGTGGTCACCTGCCTACCTTATCACAAAGCTCTCCAAAACACATCAATCTTAATTTCAGGTTCAGGTTCACCCAAGAAGAAAAACAGTAGGCTTTTGTCTTATATCCTTTTGCAATCACTTACCCTTCTCCAAATCTGGACCCCAAGCAATCATGGGTTTACTTTCTGTTGTGATAGCTTAGCTTTGCCTGTTCTCTTCTTCGGTTCTTTGGATGTGCCTATAGTAATCTCCAACAGGTTTCTTTGATATTATGACAAATTATAGACACATCCGGCATTTTCCTTGACAGCAGAATCTGTATTAACTCTTCTCAAGAGTCCTGGTTCCTTTTTGTGGGAAATGATATTTAAAGACCACAATCCGGGTTCAAAGGGTGCTAATTAATAGTGATTCATTGTTACTAGGCCTTTATAAAGCTAGGAAATTTCCAACTGGGTGTGTTGGCTCAAGCCTGTAACTCCAGCACTTAGGGAAGCTGAGGCAGGCAGATCACCTGAGGTCAGGAGTTTGAGACCTGCCTCACCAACATGGTGAAACCCTGTCTCTGCTAAAAATACAAAAATTAGCCAGACATGGTGGTGCACACCTGTAATCCCAGCTACTTGGAAGGCTGAGGCAGGATAATCACTTGAACCCGGGAGGCAGAGTTTGCAGTGAGCTGATATCACACTACTGCCCTTCAACCTGGGCAACAGAGAGAGACTGTCTTAAAAGAAAAAAAAAGGCTAGGCAATTTCTAAAAATTAAGAGAAAACACTTCTTAATTCATACTGTCAGTTTCCAATCCAGATTCTGGATATAGGCTTTTTACTAAAATTGATTAATCTTACTTCTATTATTTTTTCTTCCATATAGAAAATTCTTCTTCTCAATGACACCAGCATCATTATTGATTTGCTTTCTACTAACACACAAATAGCCTCTGAATAAGAATGCCAACACTATCACCAAAAAGGTAATTGCTGAAAACTGTTTAAGATCTTTAGCAGGTTTTTTGTGGAAAGGGCTTGGGGGTTTGGGAGGTTGGTTTGGCTTTTTTTTGTTTGTTTGGTTGTATTTTTGGTCCTGACATTATATCCCACTTGGAATGTATACTGTAATTACCATATTTGGAAATCACTTGAAATAGTTTATCTTTGTGTGGTATGACATCAAACACATACATCATGAAATTTGTTCTATTTTGCCTTCTATTTTTATGAATGGTTTTAAAGGTGATTTTGTTTTGCAACTATGTAAAAATATTTACATCTCCCAAAGTCAAATTCCAAAACAAGACATATTCAAAGAATTTTAGCTTCTCTACCTGCTGTCCCTTTCCTCTGAGACAGTGCTTTTTAAATTTTAAGATTTATACCAGCACTCTTTTTACACATGTGCATGTGCACACACACATACACACATTCTTTGTATTAGTTCATTTTCATACTGCTATAAAGAAATACTAAAGACTGGGTCATTTATAAAGGAAGAGGTTTAATGGACTCAGTTCCACATGGCTGGGGAAGCTTCACAATCATGGCAGAAGGTGAAGGAGAAGCAAAGACACGTGTTACATGATGGCAGTCAAGAAAGAAGTGCAACATGAAATGGGGGCAAGTCCCTTATAAAACCATCAGATCTTGTGAGAACTCACTCACTATCACAAGAACAGTTTGGAGATAACAACTCCCATGATTCAATTACTTCCCACCAGGTCCCTTTCACAACAGGATAAGATTTGAGTGGAAACACAGCCAAACAATATCGTTCTGCCTCTGGCCCCTCCCAAATCTTATGTTTTTACAATTCAAAACATAATCATGCCCTTCCAATAGTCGCCCAAAGTCTTAACTCACTCCAGCATTAACTCAAAAGTCCAAGTCCAAAATCTCATCTGAGACAAAGCAAGTCCCTTCAACCTATGAACCTGTAAAATCAAAAGCAATTTAGTTACTTCCTAGATACAATGGGGGTACAGGCCTTGGGTAAATACACCAATTCCAAATGGGATAAATTGGCCAAAACAAAGAGTCTGCAAGCCCCATGCAATTCCAAAATACAACAGTGCAGTCATTAAACCTTAGAGTTCCAAAATGATCTCCTTTGACTCCATGTCTCACATCCCGAGCATGCTGATGCAACAGGTGGGCTCCCACAGCCTTTGGAAGCTCTGCCCCTGTGTCTTTACAGGGTACAGACCCTCTCCTGGCTGCTTTCACAGGCTGGCATTGAATGTCTGTGGCTTTTCCAGGCGCATGGTGCAAGTTGTCAGTGGATCTGCCATTCTGGGGTCTGGAGGACAGTGGCCCTCTTCTCACAGCTCCATTAGGCAGTACCCCAGTGGGGACTCTTTGTGGGGTCTTCAACCCCACATTTCCCTTCTGCACTGCCCCAGTAGAAGTTCTCCATGAGGGCCTCACCTCTGTAGGAAACTTTTGCCTGGACATCTCAGTGTTTCCATATACCCTCTGAAATCTAAGTGGAGGTTCCAAAACCTCAATTCTTGACCTCTGTGACCCTGCAGGCTCAACACCACATCGAAGCTACCAAGGTTTGGGGCTTATACCCTCTGAAGCCACAGCTGGACTGGCTAGGATGTAGGACATCAGGTCCTGAGGCTTCACACAGCAGGGTGGCCCTGGACACAGCCCAGGAAACCATTTTTTCATCCTAGGCCTCCAGGCCTGTGATGGAAGGGGCTGCTGCAAAGGTATCTGACATGCCCTGGAGACATTTTCCCCGTTGTCTTGGTGATTAACATTTGGTTCCTCCCTACTTATGCAAACTTCTGCTGCCAGCTTGAATTTCTCCTCAGAAAATGAGTTTTTCTTTCCTAGTGCATCATCAAGCTACAACTTTTTCAAACTCTTATGCTCTGCTTCCTCTTGAATGCTTTGCCGCTTAGAAATTTCTTCCACCAGATACCCTAAATTATCTCCTTAAGTTCAAAGTTCCAAAGATCTCTAGGGCGGGGCTAAATGCCATCAGTCTCCTTGCATATCAAGAGTGATCTTTGCTCTAGTTCCCAACAAGTTCCTCATCTCCATCTGAGACCGCCTCAGCCTGGGTTTTATTGTCCATATCACTATCAGTATTTTGGTCAAAGCCATTCAACAAGTCTCCAGGAAATTCCAACCTCTCCCACATCTTCCTGTCTTCTTTGAGCCCTCCAAACTGTTGCAGCCTCTGCTTATTACCCAGTTCCAAAGTCGCTTCCACATTTTCAGAAATCTTAATAGCAGTGCTTCACTCTACCAGTACCAATTTACTGCATTAGTCCATTTTCATACTGCTATGAAGAAATACCCAAGACTGGATAATTTATAATGTGTAAAGGAAAAGAGGTTTAATGGACTCACAGTTCCACATGGCTGGGAGGCATCACAATCATGGCAGAAGGCAAAGGAGGAGCAAAGGCATGTTTTACATGGAGGCAGGAAAGAGAGAAGTGTAGCATGAAGCAGAGGAAAAGCCCCTTATAAAACCATCAGATCCTGTGAGAACTCACTATCACAAGAACAGTATGGAGGTAACTGCCCCCGTGATTCAATTAACTCCTACTAGGTTCCTCCTATGACACATGGAGATTATGGGAACTACAGTTCATGATGAGATTTGGGTGGGGACACAGCCAAGTCATATCATTCCTATTACCTTTCTGAGATATATGGAAGCGTATTATATGTAAACATATTGTCCTTTTCATTCTCATCACCTAACATGACTGCATTGTGGCCTCTGGTCATCTTCCTTCCTTTTACATGCTAATGCTCCATTACATGGAAGCACCACTGGTATTCAACCAGTCATCCATCCATGAAAATTTGTCATTTGTAATCTTCCATTATTATAAATAGCGTTGCAATAAATAGCTTTGATCATTTGTCTTTTTGTATTTCTGCTAGCACCGCTCATTTTTAGGGCACTTACTACATTCCAGGCCTTAATAATATACTAGTGGGGAAAACATAAATCCCTGCTGCTATGATTAAAATGTTTGTCTACCCCCACTCCTAAATGTATATGTTGAAATCCTAACTCACGACATGATAAAATGATAGTATTTGAAACTGGGGCCTTTGGGAGGTGAGGAGGTCATAAAGGTGGATCCCACACTCCTGACCAGCTCCCCAGGACTTTGAAACTTGAAGCCCATTCCCACCATCTGTGGCGCTGGCTCTGCCTGCTCAGGCCTGGGTAGCAGAGTGCATGACACATGGAATGTCTGGGCAGGCCACCATGGGAGATTAGCGTCCTTATAAAAGAGACCCCAGGAAGCCACCTCACCCTGTCTGCCGTATGAGAACACAGCCAGAAGGCATCATGTGTGAACCAGGAAGCAGGTTCTCACCAGATACAGAATCTGCCGGAACCTCCATCCTCCAGAACTGTGAGGACTAATTTTCTGTTGTTTATAAACACCCAGACTGTGGTATTTCGTCGTAGCAGCCCAGATGGACTAAGACACCTGCCCTTAAAGAGTTGTCATTTTGTTGGGGCTAGGGGAAGAAAGACATTACAGAGAATCTGTTGGAATGTGGCAGGGGCTCTGAGGAAAAGTAAAGCTGGGTAAAGGGGTTAGGAGCGATGGGATGGGGGTGGGCGTTCTAGCCTATTCAGATAAGGCCTCTCAGAAAATAGGGCAGTTCAGCAGAAACCTGGAGGAAGTGAGGGACTGAGCCACACAGGCGCGAGGAAGAGGAACAGCAAATGCAAAGAGAAACACACCTGAAACCGGAGCAAGTTACAGGCCAGTAAGGCTGCAGCAAAGCGAGTGAGAGGAGGTGGCAGGAGAGCAGGTCAGAGGCACGGCTGTGGCCTGGATCATGAGGTTCATGGAAGGGTATGGTGCATTCCAGAAGGCCCAGCACAAGTAAGGCAGGCAACTGTCTGGGAGCCCCGGCACCCACACCCCAGGCCCAGCACCACACTCCTGACCAGCTCCCCAGGACTTTGAAACTTGAAGCCCACTCCCATCATCTGTGGCGCTGGCCTTGCCTACTCAGGCCTGGGTAGCAGAGTGCATGACACATGGAATGTCTGGGCAGGCCTCCGTGGGAGAGAGCACAGAGGGTACCCATACAGCAATTGAGAATGACCGCAGGCCCTCTGGACCCACCCAGTCCCCGGCTACTCCCAAAGCTGTCTGCTCCTTCAGTGTCCAGCTATGCCATCTACCCCGGAAGATTCCCCCTTGGCTTGATGACCTGGTTGCAGTGTTTACCTTGGCACACACCTTGTATTCTTTTAGGTAATTAAAAGTAATTCCCACCAACTCCACATGCCATAAGCCTGGGTAAGAAATGCCCCACCTGGTGCACTCCCAGGCCCCAAACCCTATGCCAATTGGCTAGTCAAGGCATTCTCTGGCACCCACCCACTCACTATGCCTCAGTTCCCACCTGTAGGTTAGCAAAGATGTCATGGGACACCAGGGAAGCGCGACTTTGTTGAGGAGTTAAGCTGAGGAGGAAAACTGAAGTCAGGATAGGCATATAGTGGGTTCTCCGACTTTTGAATCCTTTTGGCCTTGGTTTCCTCATTTAAACGGATGAGGATAAAAGACCGGTTCCTGTATCATAGAGTACGTATGTGGGTTAAATGTTAACTGTCACGCATGTAGTGATGTTTAATATGCACTATGTGCAGAAAATGTGTTACATGATGACAGTGATTTTTATTATCATTACCATACATGATGTCTTAATTCTTTTGGACTGCTATAGAAAAATATCATAAACTGGGTAGTTGATAAACAACAGAAATGTATTTGGATAGCTCTGGAAGCTGGGAAGACCAAGATCAGGGCACCAGCAGGTTTCATGTCCAGCAAGGGCCCATTTTCTGGTTCCGAGACAGCACCTTCTCACTGTGTCCTCCTGGGGTGGAAGTGCTGAGGGATCTCCCAGGGGCCTCTTTGAGAAGTGCACTAATACCATTTGTGAGGGCTCCAGTCCCATGACCTAATCACCT